CATGTAATGGAATCAGGGCGAAGCAGGTGGCAGGCTTTGGCTTTTATTCGATTAGCGCTGGAACTCGCCCGCATAGTAGAGTCTAATAGATGACGAACATAGCATAAAGATTAAATTATTGGTTCACATCGAACGGACACATGGCAGGAACGTGACGTGACCCGATGTCATCGTTAATCTTAAACCATTATTGATATTAAAGTTTATTGGTCCCTATTGTATAACATTAACCGCTTATCGCTGCCGGTCGCTGATGATGGAAATCATTTCCTTTGTTCTTGTATTTCTTTTTTTTTAATACGAACAATGAGCGTTTAATATGTATGGGAATATGTAAATTGTTTCTTGCATATCTTGGTGCTGTTTTTCTCGCTGTCCGTTCGCAAAAATAATCCCCAATCAAAGTCAGCGCAATTTTTTGCGCTAAAAAACAAAAATAATATTCAATAGAGCTACAATGCCTACATTGAACGAGGTTCTACATTGCTATATTCTTATTAAGGTTGCTTAAACATTGACGAACATCTAACTTAATTTAGATATTAGGAAACAATGTAGTCCCTTGTGTAAACTCCGAAATGTAATTACTTCTTCTAAGTGTATTGACTCTCGTAATAAGTTTAAAATGCAATCAAAATAGGCTATTACATCTTGAGACTTAATATACAGTGTCGTCTATAATTTGTAATTTGTATTAGATTACTAAGAATTAATATAAACGTTTCTTTCTGGGTGTTCCGCTCTTGCTTTATATAATTCGACGTTACAGTACAACAAGCCTTGGAGAATATAGTTGTTGCTCAATCTAGTTTGTTTGCAGTTGCCGTGGGGCGCCGTCTCGCATATCAATGTAATAAGTAACAGTTTATTGTTTTGAAATTAGTACGTGTAATATCAAAGAAGCTACTGAAACAGATGTTGTGACGAAATAATGTCAACACTCGTAATCTAATTTATTTATACAAAAGCACATACCAACAGATGGTCGAATTTCGCGCTGGAAGTTTGTTTTACGTAGTTTGATTGTATTGTAGCGTCATCAAGAAATATTACTTACATAATTATTATAGTTTTCAGATACCGAAATTGACTTGCGTAACTTTAATGCCTCGAACTGCAACTTCTCCTCTTCCTCAAATTTTGAAGATACGATTTTATTCGTGGGACCCGTCGAAATTTCTCTCAAAGAAATGTTTTTCATTGATGAGTCGGAAATAATATTTCAAAGACGAAATTCGCTTGTAGCTTTTACCGGGAAGCCATAGAAGAGTCACTCATGTGTGGTACATTGACATTTTCGTAAACGACCTTGTTGTTTTCGCGAACTGGTCAGAGTCAGAGTTTATTTAAATATCCTGGCACAAGATAATCATTTCGTCAGTTAAACGAATCAGCCGAATTTATGATGTCACGGATCATTAAATTCATTGAGTGGTTCGGACATTTTAATTTAACAGGGGTTAACTCTCAATATAAAGTTAGTTGTAGCAATTTGTTAGGCTCAAAGAAAAAGGAACATAGTTGATGTAGAGTCAACTCAATAGTCAATACATTGAAGCATTTTCCTGAAATCAATTGCGATATGAAATCGGAAACGCTTCCATTGAATAAAAACCTGCATAATATGCCAATTTAATGATGGGAACGTGATGGTATACTTATTCCAAGCCTATAATGCATTAGGTTGGGTGAGAGAGAAGTAATTGCACTTTCTCTACGCGTGCTCTATCATATCGTCGACTAAATCATTATTTACTCTCACAGTTGCTATAATGATAAAATGTAATGATAAATTGACTGCTAATGATGCAGTTTACGTAGATGATATAATAAAACATGCAAATGCTCCAAAAGAACAGAAATACGGTTTGTAGGTTAATGATGTAATATCCGAATCAGGTCCTGCCAGATGCAAGAACAGGCGTGCATTAATAAAGTGTTCAAGTCCACTTCCGTGACATAAAAATGTATTGGTATCTCGTGTCCGTCTTTCCATTGGTGTTACATCAATATGGCTAGAGTTAGAGTAGAGCGGTGCTTTACATAAGTATCTGGCGAAGCAGATGTATATCTTAGAAACACCGCTAATTTAAAGTTAACCAATATTAAAACAGTTCTAAGAATGGACATGTTTCGTTACGATTTTACAACAAATTACACATAAGGCCAGTTCGCTAAGCTTGAAATTTTCTCAAGTGTTAGCATGTGCCGTAAAGTATAAAATTGTGCTCTACGCACATTAAAAAACGACAAGGTCGTAAGAGGCGTTCACTTTCGCATCCATGCGATTCGGTAAGCACCAGTAATAGTACGTCTATAGCAACTTTCTGTAATTACAACTATTCATTTTCTCGCGACTGTTACCAGATATTACGTGGATCGTTTCAATTATGCTTGAGAGAAACGTGACGGATATTAGCGGCTTAAATGACTTGGCAATATTTTAACATCGTCTCACTCAGTAAGATCTTGCGCAGCTGTTTAGGAAATAGTCTATTTGAGGTTATTGAATTTCGATCTCTAACCATCAGTTTTAAATTATTGTTTATTTGTTTGATTTTATCTTCGGATAATCCGTAGTCTTATCTGTTTGAAGAAGCTTCTCGTTTACTTTCACCGATGCCCAGTGCAACAATACCTAGCCATGGCACCGAGGCGAATCAATTCACCATTGTTTGGTTATTGACGTCAATACGTCGTGAGTGTGGCATGCAGGGCCTTCACGACTTCGATTTCATTCGTCGGCTTGGCCACGATCACCTGTTACTTTATTGCCTATATTTTTGTATCGTTAGACCGCTTAGTCGTCATTGACGCTATTTTGATTCGCGATATTTATATTGCTTCAGTAAACGGTGCAAAAATATCAATGGACAAACATTTTGATTAAAATCAATAGAACCCTTGTTACGTTAAGTGGTATGTCAATTTTCTCTATTAGCTCTACTTTAGACTAGGTCACCACATCACATTGTCTATTCGCGCGTTTATCTCCAAGATGCTCAATTGATTTGCTTTTATCACGATGACGTCAGTCAGACTATGCGTTTTCAGCGGACATTGTTTAATGTGATTATTAGATATCATGCAACCGCGGGAATGTTTCTTACCTGACCTGCACGCGAGGTCAGCGAGCCTGCGAGCCCATCGATTGTGACCTATTTTACCGTACTGACCGTTAGTGATGTTACTAATATTAAACACACTGATATTCCTAAAAGCTTGTCAAAACAAAGCTTCTAAGAAACCTCTTTTCACGCTACTCCATCGTGGAACTCCTGCTCTGTTTGTTTGCGTTGTAGAAACGTTTGTAAAATGTGGTGGTAATGAAACGTTATTTGGCTCGCTTCCATAAAGTAAACTGCACTTGACTTCATACTACCGATTTATTACTACAATAAAATCTTTACTTAGGCACCGGTTTATCTAGCATTAAAATATTAGCGGTATTTTTTATTAGCATATTAATATTGACTGGAAATGATGGTGTTGTAATGTGTTTATAGATAAAAATAATAGCATAAATGGTTTTATTTTTCGATTAATTTCTTCCGGCTCTATTTTGTAGGAATTTTGATTGTATGTATTTTTAACTATTCGTCAAGGTGTGAAGTTTGCTGTAATTTGAAGGGCTCTTGAAATATTTTCGAGCAAAATAAATAGTAGCTAATAGACGCATCCTTTTCAATGGCAAAGTGCCGTTACTCGTCATCGCACATCTGCGGCGGGCGCGCCATATGCTCCAATCTCGATAACGCTCCTAAAATAAACGACGCTAATTCGTTCGCCACTCACGCCTCGGAATGCTCACTCAATGAATACCCACTTCCACTTCCTCCACTTTCTTGATTCAATGGCTACACTGCCGTATTAAGAATGCTGCACTCGACGGAATACTCGGTGGCAGATGGATCTTCTGAAATGCATAGCTTAAGTGGTGATAAAACTCGGGTCGACGGCCGCTTTCTCCGAGATGGTATGCGTAAGTGTTATGTCATGGTGTCTGCTCGGTGCGCTGGCCATCGTAAACTGCCCGAAGACGCTCCTACAAACAAGAACACACTGTTATTAGTACATCATGAGATGTAAAACATACGTTCTCTACTTGAGTAACTGTTCCCATCCACATTAATATTCTCGGCCGCATCTAAGTAATACGCGTTGCAGACTCATAAGGAACTGCTTATAAACTCAATGAATGAATACAAATGAAGACATAAGGTAGCCTTTTATGTTGACATTGTTTAATGTAATGGCATGAAATCGCATGCCTCAGGTGTCAATAGTCATTGAACTATCGACGAAATCAATTCAAACAATGTCTTGAATAGCACGTACGACTTTACAAGTTTACACACATACAGCACAGACGTCCTGAAAATTGCTTGCGTCTATTTGAACAAGTGTAGTATGCAAAGCGAAATCAAACATTGTCAAAACTGGTTAGTTCCACGTACAAAAACGCACTGGATGCCGCGAACTCGGTCGGGGAAATCTTTGGCCTGGATAGATCTTTGTTTACAGTTTCGAAGTTGTTTAGTTGCGTTTAGGCTGCGTAACCGTGGTGATCCTTATTCGAATGGTATGCGCCGCGGCGTGCCTGGTGTTGTTGCGTAAAGCCGTAGTCTGCCCCACGACGCCCGCCGCGCTGGTCGTGCGCGCTCGCGATATGTTCCGCTTCTAATTACTCGTTATGATAAATTGCGCGGCTGTTCGCATTGTTCCAACATCGAGCCCGTGCTCAAGCGTGACGACCATGTTTGTGTGAGGAGGCTTATTAAATACAGTGCTGTGCTCTCAATTAGTGATTGTTTATCTTATCAAAGTGTATTCTGCCAAATGGTTAGGAAAATAATCGTCGTCGGCATCCGACACTACGAGGATCCTTTCTATAAGTACGTAGCGTACCGTAAAAACAGATTTTACCTTGTCTCTGTTTTCCTCTCCAAATTAGTATTCTGTGTTACAAGTTTCCTCAATTAGATTTTGTTTTGTCCTAGGCATGTGACCGGCGCAAGCGGGCCGCCGGCAGGATGCGGCCATCAGAGGAACAGGTCCTTGGACTCTGTTCTCCAGAGGATACCGGAGGACATGACCCCGACGTCGCCGGAGGGTGCGCCGCTTCGGATGCCCATGGAAGTGCCCGCACCGAGGCTCGCTCTTCCCCCCGAAGTCCCGGCCGGCTCCGACGACTCCGGTATCCACACCCCGCCCGACGGAAACGATGAGGAGAGACCACCGGCGCCGGCCGCCGCCAGGTCTAGAGAAAGCCTCGACTCCGGCAACCCAGAAGACACGGATAAACCGCCCGATCCACCCGACGCTGTGGTCGAAACGCAAATCAGATCAGACACATCCGCCGCAGAAACATCGAAAAACAAAGACTTTCTTTTAAGGCTATTCGAGAGCAAACTTTTCGACATGAGTATGGCCATCTCGTATTTGTTTAATTCAAAAGAACCCGGTGTACAGACGTATCTAGCGAACAAACTCTTCTCATTCCCTCACGAAGACGTGGACTTCTACCTGCCACAGTTGTCGACGATGTATATAGAAATAGGTGATGTGGCGGACGTGCTTCGGCCGTACTTGGTTCACAGGTGTAAACAAAGCGCGGAGTTTTCGTTGCGGCTCGCGTGGCTGTTGACGGCTTTCGGTGGTGACATGAAGAGGTCGAAGGCGACTAAGTTAAGAGACTCGATATTGGCGGAGGAGATCAGGCCGGCGGCGAGGCGAGGGCACCACAGGTCCCAGTCGGACGCGTCGGCGCTGCGGCTGGCTACGCCTTCGGGGCGGCACTTAGGGGATTTGGCGTCAGGGAGAGCCTTTGACAATGGATGCCTCTGCGGTGAACAGTGCTCCTGCGGCGCGCCCAGATTAGCACCACAAACTCAGGTAAAATATTTCTCTTTTATGTGCTCACATTCCTCTTTTCATGTTCTATTGTAAGTTGACTATAAGGCGATAAGTCGCATTCCTAAAAACCCGGTCGTAAAAATACATAAATACAAGTTTGATAAGAGATTGATATTACGTGTTCTGTTATAAAAGAGATTGATAATTCAGCTGGTTACAATAACGAACATTATTCAATCTTTAAGATTACAATAGATTTTGCATGCACAAATAACTTTGAATACGAATAGTACGAATACTCTTAATGTGTTTTTGAATTGTAATAAAATATGTATTAACTACTGGTTGCTAAGAGGATCCGTAACAAACATTATCCGAAATTCCATGGTATATTATATTTTTTTCAAGAATTTTAAAAGCTCCCTACTACGATCGAGCTTTTAAAGAAATCATTATTAGCATACGATACGTTTATTTGGTTTTCGTATCATTAAATCGATATTGCTTATCGTCCTTGTAGACGTAGAGTAAGTAATGGTCTTAACTCTTAGCGAAGTCGCACTACTGAGGCACTAATAATAATTTCACGCCGTGTGTATGTTTAGAGATTACGCTTGTACGGCTTGACCGAGCTTTCTTCTTAATCACTACGTGTAGCGTGTGTAACGTGCCCGAATTAAAACCAACCGTGACTCAGGCAGCCGTACAAATGACGTCATTAGCCGTGTCTAGAGACCTACTCCTTCTGATACTCGTTGCAGTCATAAAATCGCACATAATGTGCCGAACAAAAACATATTTTCTCACACATTGAAAGTCTATTAATGTAGTGGATTTCTCACGGATCTGTATCACTAGTGCATGCAATTCCTGTTTAAAAGGAATTAAAAGCGTTCTGTAAAAGAACGACGAAAGAAAGACACGTAAACCGCATTTCTATTTCTATCGTTAAATAATTCATAAAGATAATCGTTTTTATCAGTTACCGATAAGAAAGTATTCGATTTCAGATAAGATATTCAAAATGGGACTACTCCAAGCTATAATCGCTCGGAAGTAAACACAGGTTTTGTTGCACCTTTCTACCGCGTTCCTTCCCAATGAGGATCAGTACTGTTGTAGAAAATTCAATAAAACTAGTATCTACGTTAATCTTTAAGACATAAGAAAGATATATCTTTTTGAATTATCCAAATCGGACCATTACTTACGAAGATATTAAGTAATAAACATAGGCCGTTTTTGCCGCTACAAGTCAACGTACGCAGGGCCGCGTGACGTCACTATATCCGAATCGAGCGCAGCCGGCGTACTATTAGGATGGAAAATATTTTTTTCCAGCTAAACTATCAGTTTTAGAAAAAAACTTTTAATAACATTTATTCATCAAAATAAAGTAATCTATCGACCAGTAATTTTTAAAAATAAAAATTGTAAAAAATAAGTATCGCTATGTCCAAAAACCACATTTTCATAGGATTCGATGCAATGCGGAGACGCGGTTGGGGTGAGTGTAACTTAATGATTGTTTGTATTGAACATAATAATACATAATATGATGCTAATAATACCCAGTTTCTGGCCTGGGGGGAGAGGGGGGAGGGATTAGTCATACCCAGCTTATAGCCTGGGGGGGAGAGGGGGGGGGGATTAGTCATACCCAGCTTATAGCCTGGGGGGAGGGGCAAGCCTTACCCAGCTTCTGGCCTGGGGGGAGGGGGAGGGGTCAAGTCATACCCAGTTTCGGTCCACGGGGGGGGGGGGTAAATCATACCCAACTTCTGGCCGAGGGGGAAGTCATATCCAGCTTATGACCTGGGGAGAGGAGGGGGGCGGGGGAGTCATACTCAGCTTCTAGGCTAAGATTAAATAGATTTCCAGGAGGGAGCAGCTGTCCTTTCCTGCAGCAGCTGGCCGCCCATGGGAACGGCGAATAGATAGGTAGGTACGTAGGTTTAACTCAGAAAAACTAAATAACAGGTAGGTATTGCGTGTACATCGAAATGATCTTCATAGCAATGTCTTGTATGTAGCCTAGGCAGAGTGTATATGCCTCAGCTATACCTTATTGTTAGAAGTAAATAAACTAATACTTATACATTTTTATATTTTACTTGGAAGAAGATAATATGACTAACAACACTTATGAACACTTTATTTGAATAAATCGCCAAATATACCACCGCGGCGACCCCAATCGCGTCTCTGCGTTCCATTGAATCGTATGAGCGTATGGATTTTTGCGTTATTTTTCACAATTTCTATTTTTAAAAATTACCTATCGATAGCTTACTTTATTCTGATGAATAAATGTCATTACAAGTTTTTCTCTAAAACTGATACTTTGGCTAGAAAAAATATTTTCTATCCACGCAGTACGCCGGCAGCGTTCGGGTCGGATATAATGACGTCATCGTCCCCGTGCCGGGCGGTCAGTGAACTTTTTTAGTAATTTGGCCATAACTTCGTCAATTTTTGTCGTAGAACAAAAATTTTTGGACTGTGTATTAAGGATTTCTTAGCCCTATAAATCTGCATTCACAGCTAAAAATCGAAATGATCCTCATTCTATTAATAGATCATCCAAGTGAACCTTTTTTTGTCTCATTGGTGTGGGAATGTACTTTTTGTGCTTGTGGATCACAGAAAATCGTTCCTTTTAGTCGTCATACGACTCGTTATATCACTGAAAAGAGCAGATAATAGTATCATTATTTCACTTTGTTGGATTACCACGATCTACGTGTGTCGCAATCGGCAGCTGATTGTCAGATAACTGAGCTTATTCTAATTTTTGTATCCAATGAAATACTTTGTTGTACGATAACAATACACACTGTTTTGTAATTTTATCGCATTACGTTATAATGACGTTAATTCATTTTTTAGGAAAATGTGACGAAACATATTTTCTGTTATAAACAATAATGCAGCAAACGTAAAAATGTTAAAGTTCAAATAGAAACATCGTGATGTGACATTGTTAACGTGATTTCCCCAGTTGAACGAACAAAGCGTAAACACACGGGCTGTTTGTAAAAAATTTAATAACCGCAACAAAAAGATTGCTGTTCAATTTTATCGGATATTTGTACCACTTCTCCGTACAAAGATTCACAAATGATAATGATAAATAGACTTGGATTTATGCGAACACTGGTGTATCCAACATTGAAGAATTTATTGTTTGTATTCAGTCAGTGAAATTATGAATGAGTGAGATGTTATACATCTTGACAGTTATTTAAAGTCTACATCTAACATCGTTCTCATTATTGTTATTTATGTTCTTATTCTTAGAACATGTGCGGATTGTATCTTGAAATTTTGCAGTTAGCAGTATTATCCATTTCAATTTGGACGTAAAGTAACATCGCGCTTTGCTAATGAAAATGTTTTGCAAAGTTTTTGTAATGTTTTTAGTACAGACGTTAATAGTTTAAACATGGTAGTATTCCCCTAAAACCCATTTTTTATCTGAGCGTTTACAATGCAGTTCAGAGAACTGAGCTATTCAGTATTCTCATGTTAATATTGCGCAGAGGAAACGTTGTTTATTTTTTACAGTTTAGTAAATTGAAGCTTAACAAAACTGTTATAATCAAATAGGATTCTCTCGAATTTAGTTACCGAGTTACCCACTAGTCTAGAGAGACTACATAGAGTCAAATATTTTGAAATCCTTGTTTAAAGTTTATTCCAGATGTATGTAGGTACATAATTAGGTACCGTTTTCAGCCAAATGATGTCCACTGCTGGACAAAGGCCTCCCCCAAGGTTTTCCACAATGAACGGTCCTGCGCTGCCCGCATCCAGGCTCTTCCCGCGACCTTCACCAGATCGTCGGTCCACCTAGTAGGAGGCCTGCCCACGCTACGTCTTCCAGCCCGTGGTCGCCACTCGAGAACTTTCCTGCCCCAACGGCCATCGTCTCTACGAGCTATGTGCCCCGCCCACTGCCACTTGATTTTAGCAATTCTGCGAGCTATGTCGGTTACTTTGGTTCTCCTGCGGATCTCCTCATTTCTGATTCGATCACGCAGGGAAACTCATATAATTAGGTAATTAGAGCGTAATTACTGGTAATTTGTTTGACCTATAACTTATATCCCCAGTTCCTGATTATTTGACCTATGACCTATTGATCCTCATTTCCTATTTGTTTGACCCATGACGTATTGGTCCCCAGTTCCTGACGGCGTTGACGAACATCGGCCGGCGGCTGGCAGGAGTGGCCGATAAGGAACGGCGGAACGGCCGATTACGTGCCGAACTGGCTGCACTAGACCTCAACTTGCCAGCACGAGTTTGGCTACCACTACACCACAGGCCGCATTATGTGCTGAGGATACCACCGCACGCGGCTGCCGTGCTCAACAGCAAGGATAAGGTGAGAGATTATTCTTTTTTTGAATTACTGGTAGCCGTAGGCGGCTTCTTCGGGCAATAGAGCACTAGGGCACGCTTTCAGCCTCAAAATTTAAGCAAGGCCATTGGGAATGATGTGAATACTAATGAGATACACCATCTCATTAGTACTCACTTTCATCTTAACATGTGTCCATCAGACAACCTCATTCACGCCTCAAGGATATCAGAGCGCCTCAGTTTTTAGGATAAATAAATAAATAAATATCCTTGGACATTTTACACTGCGCCGCTAGCCCCAAACTAAGCAAAGCTTGTACTATGGGTACTAGACAACGGATATAAACGTACTTAAATACTTTTTTTTTGTAAATACATATTATATACATAGAAAACACCGCCCAGACCCGTCACAGAAATTAAAATTCATCATTTCAATTTCTGCTCGGCCGGGAATCGAACCCGGTACCTCTCGGCATAGTAGTCCGTTCTGAACCACTACACCAAACAACCGACTAAGGATATTGCAGTTGGAATGGCACTCCAGTGTATCCATACAATTTAAATTATGAACTGAATTTTATTTCTCGCAAAGCATTTGAATGCTTGTAATTCGAGGCCTAGATTCAAAACAAACTTGGATGCCACAACACTTCTTACTTCAAACTACTCACGTGGGTGGCTATAGCGGATGTGGCTTAGTCATAAGTCGTTTTACCTATCCAGGTTTTCTCCGCTGTTCTCACGCGACCAATGGTTTTATAGGCTAGGGTTGGGCAAAAGATAGTTTCTATTTTCTGTGATATTCATTACTTAAATAACATGAAGCTGATTTTTTTTATCCACTACGAGGAAGCTCTTGGCCTGTATCTCACCTCATGATTGAGTATTCATGATTGGAATTTGGAACAAATACTGCAGTACGTTCGAGTTGCCAAATTTCGTTCTTGCCATAAAATGTCACTTAAATTCCACTATGTAGCATAAAGCCATTCGTTTACATGCTAAGAATGTATTCCTTCACTCCGAAAAAATCTCTATCATATTTTACTTTGGTCAAACCATTCAAAACGATGCGGAGGTGTCTCTGACATATCTCATTTGTCACCTCTCCCAGTATATCTTTTTAAGGATATCGCACTTAAAACTAGTTTTTGCGATCAGGAACAAGGTTTCTAGCCCACCAATCATAAATAACACTTACCATGACATTCTCTACGCCTACATTCATTATGTTGCTCTTGACCTTCGTTATAGACATTCGGCGTTATCTGCTTTGTTCTTATCAATTAGTTGGCTGTGTCAACCAACAGTCTCTCGTATCAAGTACGAAGATATTTTTTGTATTTATTTAAAGTGTTTCAATGTATGGCAGAGTAGAATAGAGCAACCCCCACTTTTCCCGAGGATATCGTAAGACGCGACTAGGATGGATTCGACCAAACAAGAGTAAATATTAATCTCAGAATAAATCGTCAGTGTTGACATATTCCCCATACTTAAACTGTGAATGTGCCAGTTATTCTTCTTCTCAGTCGGTACACTCTTGTCAGAGTGGTCGTGGTCATCATTTTGAATCACGGTTCAGAGTGATGTTCCTCGTAATACGGCGCCATTCCTCGCGAACTGCAGCTTTCCGGGTACTTTCGCTAACCGAGCACTTAGTTGCGGCCTTGATCTGGTCCGTCCATCTCATTGGTGATCTACCAGTGCCAGTTATACCAGGAGTTATTCTCGGATAAAAGTTTGGTTGAATCGGGCCTAAGGTGTAGATATATGTGAACATCAGGCCTCACCAACCCGTCTGGCCAGCGTGGGAACGTAGGCCAAATCATCCCTTTTGCCTTTGGTAAAGAATGTTAGAGGCACAGTATGTTAGAGGGTCGTCCTCCTACAGTGCTGACTAAATGACCTGATGATAAGCCAAGAATAAGTAGGGTGGGTGCACCAGTCCCACACCAGGAACCTGTAGTTTTCTAATTTCACATCAAAATATTAACAATCTGTCGAATTTCCCGCCACTTTTGTTACGTTTGGTAGCACTGCCGTACTTCTGCCAATAATTAGTCATAAATAAAAGCGACAAACACGACTTGTACGATCTGGTCAACCTTAGGCACATTGCGACTTTCCACATTGATTGTTAAATAAAAATAAACCTTACAGCTATTTAGAAAATTGGAATAAGCTACTTGATTCTATGATAGACAAGGAGTAGTTAATTCTTTTTTTTTGCAATTATTGTTGTAATAATTGAGTCACAATATCAAAAATACTTTTGAAATGTCGCTTATTCGGTTTGTTACTGGTACACCCACCCTAATTTTACTTAGTTCTTCTTAGTTTTAATATACCAAAGTTATGACTGTGATATCACACTGACCGAGTAACCAATAAGACACGACCTTTGATGATAATCGGTCAAATGATACGTGTTTAATCTTGTCTGACATACGTATTTATAAATGGGTCAGTTGATTGGCTGACTAATGATTTCTAAATTCATAAATTGATTAATTTGACCGCCCTCACGAATAACCACCGCCAGACCTGAGGCATGGAGTGGATAAAGGCAATCAAGCGCAGTGCCTTATGTGGTTTAAATTTGAAGAACTGTGGTTTAATTAAAGATAATATTCTTACCTCAAAATAAAACTAACAACAATGTGTCATCAATTAACACAGCTCTAACTGACGATCAGTAAATGCCTTATTGCCTGAATATAAGTTTCTTAGAACTTGGTGAGGTGCAATATTCTTCAAGAGCTCTATGCTTTTTCGATTTAGATGATGTTCATTCGCAATATTATGCACGTTCGTATATTTTGGGTCAAAGGTAATAAGTAATAACGATAAAATATTTATAGGCGCTATCGATCATTGGTATGGAATTCGATATACGCGCCAATGTTACCAGACTACCAGATCATTTCGTAATTTTATTGTAAACAAAATAAAAATTGCTAAAGCGCTCTGTTATTTAATATTAACTTCTGACATTAAAGGCGTTGGACTCAGTGCAACTTAATAGTTGCGGAAACAGCAAGGTTCCCTAAAATATTTTTTCTTTCGTTGGTTTCGTATTAATGTTACTGATATTTTAATTCAACTTTCGTGTGTAACTCGGCCTTCAGCTTATTTCAAGTAGCGCGCGGCATGACATAGTGCGGATTTCAACTGTGAGAGGTGGGCGTGATTTGAAAGGACAAATTAGTATCTGGGTTACACGGATATCTTTCTTTTGCAGATTTGATTGGACTTTTTCTAAAAAGTACGGCTGATTTTGAGATATTTTTTGCCGAAACAGTACAGCAGAAAACTTTTTACGTAAACTAATTGATTATATTCAAAGTAATATGGTCGCGAAATATTACCAGTTAATTAAATACAATTTATTAATATCCACGAATTTTAATTATCGTTGGTTCAAAGGTTTCAAGACAATCAACCGTGTTGAGTTTCGAGTTGCGTATCGCGATATTAATTTCACAGAATCGAGAGCTGTCAACGGGCACATTTCGCGCGAAGTCGAATACAATACCTCTGCATGTAGAGTAGGTGATACTACACGGCTTACTTGCTTTTTTGTGGTATATGGACTGGCTCTTGGTCTTGATAACATCTCACACAAAGGCCGTACTAACTGCTTGTGTATTTATCACTGTCGTTCTTATAGATATCTTGTTTTGCGTGAGAGAGATAGACGGACCCGAAAATATGTAAACGTCGCTACAAAACGTAAACCCGATGCTACAAGAAGGCTTGTTGCTAACAAAATAAGCTCTTTGGATTTTTCAAATTACTAGAGCTAGAGCTAAGCTAAGTCCTTTCATAAATAAAACTCTACAGTTTTAAACTGTGCGCACTGCGCATCAACAGTGAAGGACTGATAGAGTTAAAAAAATTTAGGCGACTGCTCTGCTGAAATTATTATTGATGTTCTTATTTACAATATTTAAAAAATAAAGAAATGCATTTACTTGAGAACAATTCATTATACTTATTAACTTTTAAAATATTGCTTGATTCCTTTGACAGGTTTCAAATCTCAAGAAACTATCTCTTCTAATGTACGAGTCCGATCTGTTTGTGAATTGTTAGCCGATCCGTAAAATCGAGTTCAAGCCAATTTGTGTCCTAACAGTATCTGCGATAGAAAATACTTACGCTTGCCGTTCAATGTTTATTCAAGAGAGATGATAATTTCGCAAATTGCCACTTTAAATAGTTAAATCATGTAAAAATTCCAACAAACTGTATACTGCAGAACATTATAGGAGTCTTCAGCCACTTGGCTCAATTTTAGCTTGGTCCACCGGCCAAATCACCGGTTTGGATTTGAAAATATTTTTTCTTTCAAGTCCAAGCTAAAAGTGGGCCAAGTCGCTGGAAGACTCCATTATAGTAGGTATACGAAGGAATTTATAGCTAAAAATTCCGTCATGTTTATAAAAAGGCAGTACCTTACCTTGCGTTGGAATGCTGTTAAACAATTGACTTTAATCGCCGCGTGCCAAGTTATAACCAATCGTCGCTTATTAATTTGTTCTTGAAACTGAACTACTGGAACGACATTTAGTGTAAAGTACATTCGGACTAGTATTCCAAAGAGCAATTAAAGTTTTCTGTTACACCAATTCGGGCCACGGACTCCGAGTTCCAAGTTTGGTATTTCTAAATACGCACTTCGATTTCGCAACTATGATTAGATAAAATGTTATTTATATTCACACTAATAAGATTACTTGAGATTATTTTACGTGTAATTGTATAGTTTTCATCTGCGCGTGAACAGTTGAGAAAATCATAGCATGTTTCCCTTTTATTGAAGAAAAGTTGTATTGTCTTTATGTGAAAGGGCGCAGTTATGAAAACTTTGACTTTATAATAACTGGCAATGAGAAGAATGAAAGTGAATTATTTGAGTTTGCAGTGACTGAGAAAGCATTGGATGTAAAAAGGATGTAATTTCGTGATATTAGAATTAGAATTCGTAAACTATGATATCTTACAAATCGTGTCGTTTTTTTGATTCACTGAAGTTGCATAGAAACTTTGTAGTTAAGTCCTATTTAAATGATAGGTATGTGGAAAATAAATTACTGCCTTGTCTTGTCTTTTCAATGATGTCTACTTTAGAATCATTATCTCACTCTATTGTGCCAGCTCAAAGCAATTTGCCGTCAATGCCTACATAGTGACGTTTTACTCGTATGTAGCAGCTGATGTAAGATAGCCACTGAACCCATTTTAAATTCCCCTCATTTTCTTCCACAGGCGCCATACATAATGTACGTGGAAGTTCTCGAAACAGAAGGTCACGAGCCCCTACCTCCCCGTTTGCTACCGCCAGCGCCGCCCGCGCCCCACTCTCCCCCCATCAGACATACGAAGAGCGAAGAGAATCTGGTGCCAGAATGGCCGGTGCTGTCATTATACTCTGCATTGGACGATGCTGACGCGGGTGACTGTTGGAGCCATGATGATGAGGATTTAAGTACGCAGTACGCACCGAGAGCGCCCGCGCCGGATAGCTTATCACAGGTGAATATATTAAGCTAATCTTCTTCTTATCGTGTCGACAACAAACCTACACACACACAGCGTCAACCCAAAACTCCGCTACAAGAGTGGCGTTGTCTGCAGCATTCATTAAATACTCTTATGTGCAGTTGCTCGGGCACTCAGGGCACGACATCATGTGCTTCATCGACTGGGGAACAAAACCACACTTGCATAGGGTTGCCAACTTTTCTTTCAAAATATAAAGTATATTAGAGGTCGGAGAAGGAAAACAGACAGTATTAAAAAAAAAACAAACAGTATAGCTCTACAACGCGTACTTAAATGTGGTGTTGGGCATTTACTTTTAAAAATATCTATGGATACTAGTGATGCTAGCTGAAAACAGTATTTTGTATACTTTATTTTTGTTCAACAGTAAAAAGTATAATTTAGTGAAAAACAGTATAATACTGTTCAAAACAGTATAGTTGGCAACCCTACACTTGCACCGCATTAGTTATGATGAAAGGTTTTAAACGGTTTTGTTTTGGGGAGTGAGATTCTGTAAATTATGGTGACAATAACCCAACTAGTAGGCCTAAGATGCGCGCCGTTATAACTTTTATCGACGTCAAAATGTATGGGCAAAATCGATAAAATTGCGTGATAACCGCTTATCGCGGCGCGCATCTTAGGCCTATAAACCGCTGGACTTTGTGGTCAATCCACTCTTGACACATAGGCAATAAAAACAGACACAATATGAAAAAAAAAAGTTGGTCCCCAAATCCCATTCAGTGAAGCCTAAAACATACAATAATTTCATGCAATACACTTTCATTAGGAGACTGTACCTAGTGTAAGTGTTACTTATTAGAAAAGCGGTAACAAAATAAAAATTGTGTCACGACTTATTCAATCCATTAGTACTTTCTTTTCTAGTATTGTTTTGTATGTTGCCAAGTAAATTATCGTTATATTGATAGCGATGCAAGTAACTGTGCCCGATAGTATGCTATTGTTTCTTTTATGTAATAGCATTATTATGTAACACATGAATTGATCCAAGTTAAGCATTAATTATGGTATCGAGAGTGTTGCTATACTGAACAGTATGCAAGCTTAAACCATTTGTTATATGCAAAAGTACCAGAGGTTGCGGTAAGAAGCCGCAAAATTCTTAACCTTCTTTCTTTTATAATGCCCATAAAGATATTTTTCCTAAAACAGTCTTCATTCGTTTTGAACCTACCTAAAATGTAGTACCAATAACTCCTCAGCTGCAGACACTTTCCAAAGAATGTGTAAAGATATGTAAATAACTGTCGTCAACACTCCATTTTCACTGTTTCTTTAAGTCATTGACTTTACTTTCCAAAATTTCGCCAGCCTTAAGATTACAGCCAGGTTGTCATAAGTAACCTATGACTTGTCACTTTACAAGACTACAGTCAAGTGGTCAACCGAATAACGGCTATTTGTGAGACAAACTATATTTTCAGACATTGCCTACCTAAGAATGGCGTGGCAATTACACTAATAAGCGAATAGTGTCTTTATCCTTATGTAGTCCGTCAATTCTTCAGGCTATACATTTTTAATGCAAAATTACACTTATTACAATGGGGATGTTGCCTGGGTCAAAAAGCAAGAGTTTTAATTAGTCCGTCAGTTAACTTATCAAAAAATACTCTACTCGTATTTTTCACTTTTTCAAACGAATGAAAATTTAAAGAGATAAAGCGCCCCAAAGTTCATAAGAAGAGGCCCGTGACGTCAACGCTTGCTTAAAAATGCCGCACGTTGTGACGTCGTGCGCAACTTCAACGCACCATAACTATGTAATTATTTGTTAGATTGACAAATAAAATTATACGTGTCCAATATTTTTTGATATTATACATTACGGACTAAAAAAATTTTTTTAGGCAACTAGCCTATTACAAAAGATGCTACATACCATGTGTATTATCCCCCGTACGTGATGTCGCTTCACCCACAAGCGTTAACCATTGATTGAGCAAACAAGATTTAATTTTTAGGGTTCCGTACCTCAAAAGGAAAAAACGGAACCCTTAATAGGATCACTTTGTTGTCCGTCCGTCCTTCTGTCAAGACCCTTTTTCTCAGGAACGCGTGGAGGTATGAAGCTGAAATTTATATCAATTACTCAGGTCTACTGTCCCTTGAAGCTGTGAAAAAATCAAACTTCTAAGCCAACGCAATCAAAAGATACAGCCGTTTATGCCGCAAATTTTCGACACTTGCAAGTAGGGTTTGCTCCCGGGAAATCCCGGTACTCATTTTTCCCGGGAATTCCCGATAATCTAATCCTTTATCTAGTTCCGGTACTGACGATGCAATTCCCGAGACTTTCGATACTTTCGGGACTTCAATAATTTATTTTTTAATAACAATTTTTTGACTAGATGCCATCATCTTTTTACGTACACACTATCAACAAATTAAAAAGTATCCTTTTAAGACTGATTGTTTTAACTGATTGTACTTAGGTACTAACTACTTATTATTTCTTATAATACCGTGTTTTTTTATAAACCTAATTTAGTTAATTTATGTTTTGTCCCTAACTCTTGTCGCTGCCAGTATTTGACATTGATAGAAAGTGAGAAAACATATTTTAAATAACCATTCACGTGGGTACCGAAATTCCCGAATTTCCCGGTTTTCCCGGTACTGGCTTAGACCTGGTACCGGTAATTCAGTAACACTCCTTAGTACCGGGACTTGCAACCCCTACTTGCAAGGGAATCAAAACCTACAGGGTGCTTCCCGTGAACTCAGAATCTTGAAATTTGGTACGAAGCAACGTCTTATAGCATAGATAAAGGAAAAATTANCCGGTTTTTTCTTTTGTTTTGACCTTATAACAAGGCAATAAAGTTCAAAATATGTATACTATTTCTTATTGAGGGTTAAGGATATTTCCCTCGCACGAGTGTCCGGCACGTGTATAACCCACGTGTAGTGTAATCAGCGACTCGACAACGGTGAATGCTCCGCAAACAATACATCTGATTGGATTTATTGTTACGAAATAAAATAAAACTTGACGTGATACGGCCACTGCAATTGATAAAAGACTGAAAAAACCATTTTAATTTATTCAGCACTAGTTTATTCATCATTCAACGCAACAATCATATAAACTGGTAATGCAGCAGATGACAACACAGTCATCTAAAAATATTCACGTTTATTTTATATCCAGGTAGTTAGTTAAAATTTTGATCAAGATAAAAAAAATCAAACAAATAAAAGGATTAGATTTCTAAAGAAAATATTCTCGATTTAAAAAAATATCGATTTCGGTTTAAAGAAGTTCCTCATTAAATAGAACTGTCTAAATCACCTTCTTACGCTGAATGGACCATAAATACTGTAGCATCTTCATGTAGTGATAATATTTGTTATATTGTGACATGTATGTGCTTTTAACTGTACATAATGCAAAGCAATACGCAATAAAAAATAAAAATGTTATCTATGCAAAAAGTTAAAAGCTGAATTTAAATAAAAAATACACAAACCAAACAAACTGCCAGAGTATCGTGTCACGTCTATTGACATTGCAGATAAGTATCTAAAAACACTTTCGTTTATTCTCGCCTTTTTTTAAGTACGCTACTTATTATGCGAAGCATTATGCCTGGAGGCAACGTTCGTTTGTTTATTTTGACTTATTGATTTAATAAAATAAAAAAAACACTTCACAATCGATAAATTGCATTTGGCTACTTGCAATTAATGCATGCAATTTTTTTACAATCTGTCATTCACGTATTGATAAATCGGTTTAAATTAATGAAAGTAAAATGTCTGTGTTAGTGGGGCAATATACTAATAAGCCAATGTCAATCAGACGGAGGGGGCGTGGTCTAGTATACTGATAGGTAGCACTAGCCACTTAGGTGCTTCATGCAACTGAACCTAGATTTTTAAATGTCATTGCTGAATAGTAGTGACGTTTTCAAATGCAATGCGGCATTGTAGAACGTGTCATTTACGGTTTACCTTGATAAAAAACATAATAATAAGCACTGTGCCTACCTTGTTACAAAAATGTTAAATGCGCAATAAACTGGAAATAAACTGGATAAAAATTACACTTAAAAAACTTGCTAAATGTTTAGCAAGTTTATAATAAGGAGACTGGACTGCTGCAGGCAGCAGCAGTGTGTACTTTTGTAAAAGCTATAAAAAACCTAGTTTTAAATTCTATTTTCCCTTGCAGGTGTCAGCGGTGTCAGCGTTATCAACATCGTCGTGTGGATCGCGGGAGTCTGTAGCGGTGGGAGCGGGCGAGGTGCGGCGACGGTTAGCGGACGCTACGGCCGCTCCGCCGCCCAACGCTTTCAAGCACGACCCGGCTGATCCATCGGCCACCGCTCTGAAGGTACGCACTCTTATCTATCTCCCTCTATCTCATTTCCCCTATTTTTTCTTTCCCTTTCTATCCCTATCTATTGAACATCGTCGTGTGGATCGAGGAAGTCTGTAGCGGTGGGAGCGGGCGAGGTGCGGCGACGGTTAGCGGACGCTACGGCCGCGCCGCCGCCCAACGCTTTCAAACGCGACCCGGCTGATCCATCGGCCACCGCTCTGAAGGTATTTACACGTTCTTTCTTCCCTACACACACTCTCTCTCACGAGCTGGCTGAACCCTTGTTACTGCTCTGAAGATACACGCTTTCTCTCTCTCTCTCAATTTATTAAACATCTTCCTGTGGATCTCAAGAGTCTGTAGCGGTGGGTACGGATTAAGTGCGGCGACGGCTAGCGATCGCTTTCAAACACGACCCGGCTGATCCGTCGCCCACCGCCTTTCAGGTACACACTCTATCTCCTTCTCTCTCCCCCTTCCCCTCCCTTTCTCTCTCTTATTGAACATCGTCGTGCGGATCGCGGGAGTCTGTAGCGGTGGGAGCGGGCGAGGTGCGGAGACGGTTAGCGGACGCTACGGCCGCGCCGCCGCCCAACGCTTTCAAGCACGACCCGGCTGATCCATCGGCCACCGCTTTGAAGGTATTTACACGTTCTTCCTTCCCCTCACTCTGTCTCTCTCACGAGCTGACTGATCCCTTGTTACTGCTCTAAAGATACACGCTTTCTCTCTCTCTCTCAATTTATTAAACATCTTCGTGTAGATCTCAAGAGTCTGTAGCGGTGGGTACGGATTAAGTGCGGCGACGGCTAGCGATCGCTTTCAAACACGACCCGGCTGATCCGTCGGCCACCGCCTTGCAGGTACACACTCTATCTCCTTCTCTCTCCCCCTTCCCCTCCCTTTCTCTCTCTTATTGAACATCGTCGTGCGGATCGCGGGAGTCTGTAGCGGTGGGAGCGGGCGAAGTGCGGCGACGGTTAGCGGACGCCACGGCCGCACCGCCGCCCAACGCTTTCAAACACGACCCAGCTGATCCATCGGCCACTGCTCTGAAGGTACTTACACGTTCTTCCTTCCCCTCACTCTGTCTCTCTCACGAGCTGACTGATTCCTCGTTACTGCTCTGAAGATACACGCTTTCTCTCTCTCTCTCAATTTATTAAACATCTTCCTGTGGATCTCAAGAGTCTGTAGCGGTGTATGCGGATTAAGTGCGGCGACGGCTAGCGAACGCTTTCAAACACGGCTGATCCATCGGCCACCGCTTTGAAGGTACGCACTCATATCTGTCTCCCTCTTTCTCTTTCCCCGCTTGTTTCTTTCCCTCTCTCGCTTCCCCCCTTTCTCTTTCCCTCACTATTGATTATCTTCGTGTGGGTCGTGTGGGCGGCGACTACGGTTTCAAATACGACCCGGCTGATTCCTCGGCCGCCGCTCTGAAGGTACTATCTATATGGCAACAGTGTTAACTTACCCATTGCCGGTCATGTCATCTCTTTCTATCGCAAAGAATCACCATTTGATGAGAGCGAGAGCAAAAACGGAAATGGATAGTTAACAGTGTGGCCGTGTGTACACACTCTATCTGTCATCCTCTATCTCTTTCCTCCCTCTATCTTTATCTCCTTCTCGCTTTTTCATTCTAATTTCGCTGTTGACAAAAGACTGGAGTACGTGTCGGTAAACAAATACTGAAATACTGCTCAATCAATGAGGGTTTTCGCGTATGAAAGATCCGCTAGATGGCGGGACGTGGATTTGGGGTCTGACTGCTGCGTGATTGGTGGATTTTCACATATCTGTCAATGTCATGTCAAAAATAACCAATCATGCGGCATTTGGACCTTGCGTCTACGTCTTGCCATCTGGCGGATTTTTCATACGCGAAAACCCCTCATTGAGGCACATGCTCTCTGTCTCTTTCCATCTTTTTCTCCCTCCCCCACCCTTTCATTATCTACAGTGTTAGTAGCTCACTAATATCACTAAACATTACCCAGCCGAAAGGCTCTTTTAACATCACTGTTATTCACTGTATCTCTTTGCGTAGATATGAGGTTAAAGGTACCGTTCAATCGTTATCATTATCATACTCGCTGTGACTATACTATTCTCACTACTGTCAAGATGCATAAGAACAAAAACTCATTCAGTAACTCTTCACGCAGTGACGTCACTAATGGTAGGGCCATTGATAAGAGACTGTCGCTAGTAGGAACAAGTGTGGGAAGTCTGGCGGATGCCGACGCTCAATGTAATCGAGCGTGACCCGGGTGACCTTTGCCACGGGTCTAAACGCAAGTAGGTAGTGACGTCACTTAGGTTAGGACTTGATGTCTAGCTTTTGGTCTTTCGAGTAAAAAATAAGATGGATGGTATAGTCAGCGTTAAATAATTACACCCAAATTGACCAAAAAACAAAGACGTGTTGCGAACTTTCAGGCTATTTTGTTGTCACTGACTATTTGATGCTTACTGTACTTGCCTACGTCTTACAGCAAAGAAATTCTGACGTTTTCAGCCGTTACTGTCAAGATAATCTCAAGTTTTTATCCTTATCATACTGACTGATGTCATTACTTTTGGATCTTGACGTATAACATGACGAGTTCGTCGTCCTTTCAGTTGACCTTGTCTGCTCTTAAATTCAAAAGATATTTTTGTTAAATTGTTGTTATTTGTAAATGTATTTGCGCCCCTGTTGTCGCGCATTATACTGTCGATCACAAATATGTATGCACATGATGTCATATGCTTCAACTCTTCGAACAAAAAATATTTTGCTTCAGACTATAACATAAATTTTAATTATATTTTATGTTATAAAACCCCTTGTCATATTGTAAACGGTCATTGGCGTCCCAAGTAAGTCGCGTGTGTTGGGACTGGCAGTAAAAGCGATTCATTGTAATACTAAATAAATACATTTTATAGGTTCTTAGGATATTAATGTTATAAGATATAATTTAAGTCTTAAATTGTGTTTAAGCACTATAGTTGTACGCTAAACAGTTCAAGGTAAACAAGTACGTTCGAGTTAGCTCATAAAAAGAACGCCATTAGTGAATATCGAAGTCATATAATTTAGACTTGTAAAACGATTAATTTAGATGTAATCGCTGACGATGATGCAGTTAATTGGATGATAACACGTAAACTGAAAATCAATTCATGAAATTGAGCCATATTTGATAGTAATTTAGTAAGAAACCAGTTTACTTGATATAAGATATTGATTGTTGATATAAGAGGATGTTAGAATTAGGTCGTTTCTTATGTTTGGCACATAAATTATCTCATTTGTAATTAAGTCAATATGTTAAATGCCGGGATTTGTAACCCAATAAAAATCTATGGAAATATTGGAGGCAATATTAGGTATTTTATGTAAATTTTTGGAGGAAGTGCTGGATGATGCCATATGAAAGTGACTAATATTATTATTTTGCTTTAAAAATAAATTCCAACACCAGTAAATTAACTCTCAACTACCGACCCGCCCCGGCTTCGCACGGTTGCAATGGAATTTCTCGGCTTTTCTATAATATGTAGTTTTATACCTATAAACGTTCCTCTTGAGTCACTATCTATTAAAAAAACCGCATTAAAATCTGTTGCGTAGTTCTAAAGATCTAAGCATACATAGGGACAGACAGTGGAAAGCGACTTTGTGATTATTTGAATATCCAAATAAACAAAATCCTCTTTTACAGGAATCCTGGGAAAGCAAACTAGCTCGGATGCGGTCTTCGTCCCCCTACGGCGCCTTAGCCGGTTGGAGGCTACTGGGCTGCATCGTCAAAGTGGGAGATGACTTAAGACAAGAGATGCTAGCGGCCCAGCTGTTAAGGAGGCTTCAAGCTGTGTGGGTCGCCGAGAGGGTGCCTTTGAAGCTGCACCCTTATGAGATCATCTGCTTGGACAAGGAGTCTGGATTGATACAGCCGGTGAGTGGTTTCTAATGTTTTTAAAGTGTATATTTATGCCCCTGAAAGAGTGTCTTTGAAACTGGACCCTTATGAGATCCCCTGCTTGGATAAGAAGTCGGGATTGATACAGTCGGTAAGTGGTACAATAGGTTTGTGCATCAGTTTGAGCTTGACAACAAGCCCCAATACGAGTTGGAGGCTACTGGGCTGCATCGTCAAGTGGGCGACGACCTCAGACAAGAGATGCTAGCAGCCCAGCTTTTAAGGAGGCTACAAGCCGTGTGGGTCGCCGAGAGAGTGCCTTTGAAGCTGCACCCTTATGAGATCATCTGCTTGGACAAGGAGTCAGGACTGATACAGCCGGTGAGTGGTTTCTAATGTTTTTAAAGTGTATATTTATGCCCCTGAAAGAGTGTTTTTGAAACTGGACCCTTATGAGTTCACCTACTTGGATGAGGAGTCGGGATTGATACAGTCGCTAAGTGGTACAATAGGTTTGTGCATCAGTTTGAGCTTGACAACAAGCCCCAATACGAGTTGGAGGCTACTGGGCTGCATCGTCAAAGTGAGAGACGACCTCAGACAAGAGATGCTAGCAGCCCAGCTGTTAAGGAGGCTACAGGCTGTGTGGGTCGCCGAGAGGGTGCCTATGAAGCTGCATCCTTATGAGATCATCTGCTTGGACAAGGAGTCTGGATTGATACAGCCGGTGAATGGTTTACTGTCGTTTATAAATCATATTTATGCCAGCTGTTAAGGAGACTACAGGCTTTTTTTGTGTTTGTTCGTTCCAACCGAATTCCTTCCACTACTGCACATAAGCCTCACCCATTGATTTCCACAAGGACCGGCTCTGCACAGCTCGTATCCAGGTGCTTCCCGCGACTTCACCAGATCGTATGAGTGGGAGGCCACCACTATCTGGCTATAAGTTCTACGAGCTATATGCCCCGCCCACTGCCACTTAAGTTTGGCAAATCTACGGGCTCGCTCGCTCGCTCGCTTCAGCCGAAAGACGTCCACTGCTGGACAAAGGCCTCCCCCAAGGATTTCCACAAAGACCGGTCCTGCGCCGCTTGCATCCAGGTACTTCCCGCGACCTTCACCAGATCGTCGGTCCACCTAGTGGGAGGCCTGCCCACGCTACGTCTTCCAGCTCGTGGCCGCCACTCAAGAACTTTCCTGCCCCAGCGGCCATCAGCTCTTCGAGCTATGTGCCCCGCCCACTGCCACTTGATTTTAGCGATTCTGCGGGCTATGTCAGTCACTCTGGTTCTCCTACGGATCTCCTCATTTCTGATTCGATCACGCAGGGAAACTCCGAGCATAGCACGCTCCATCGCTCTTTGGGTGACCTTGAGCCTTCTTATGAGGCCCATAGTAAGCGACCACGTCTCAGAGCCATACACCATCACTGGCAACACACACTGGTCAAACACTTTTGACTTGAGACACTGCGGTATTTCGGACGTGAGAATTTCGCGAAGCTTCCCGAACGCTGCCCAGCCGAGTTGGATTCGACGATTAACCTCTTTCTCGAAGTTGGACCTACCTAACTGGACTGTTTGTCCCAGGTATACATAATTGTCAACAACTTCGAGTATAGTGTCTCCAACCTTCAGAGGAGTGGGTATAACACGGGCATTTGACATAATTTTTGTCTTGTCCATGTTCATTTTAAGACCCACTTGTTGAGAGGCTCTACTGAGGCCATCGAGCATTGTGTTTAGGTCCTCCACGGTCTCAGCCATGACTACGATATCGTCCGCGAAACGAAGGTGGGTGATATACTCGCCGTTGATATTTATGCCGAATCCGCTCCAGTCCAGAAGCTTGAAAACATCTTCCAGGGCGGTGGTGAACAGTTTCGGAGATATGACATCTCCCTGTCTCACCCCTCGCTGCAACTGGATAGGTTTCGAGTTCTGATCCTGGAGGCGGACCGACATCTACGGGCTATCTCGGCTATTTTATTTCTCCTACGGATCTTTGTAGAGTAACTCCAAGATTTTTCATCATCATCATCATCATCATCATCATCATCATTTCAGCCATAGGACGTCCACTGCTGAACATAGGCCTCCCCTAATTCTTTCCACGTTGATCGACTGGTAGCGGCCTGCGTCCAGCGCTTCCCTGCTACCTTTACGATGTCGTCGGTCCACCTTGTAGGTGGATTGCCAAGATTTTTATGTAGGTTAAATGTCAAGTACCTGTTGCTAATTATTCCCTTTTCCCCACAGGTTTTAAACTCAGTATCGCTGCACCAGATCAAGAAACAGTCGGGCAAATCTCTTCGGGCGTGGTTGGAGTTAGAACATGGGCCTCCCAACAGTGAAGGCTTTTTACGAGCGCAGAACAACTTCGTAGAATCCGCGGCTGCGTATGCGCTGACGAGCTACCTACTACAGCTTAAAGACAGGTAATAGACTTAATAGATGTGCTAATTTGGGTCTAACACCACCACTGCAACTGACTATAGCCAGTATCTAGTTTGGCCTCCAATGAAACCCAGCAAATTCTTCTTCTTATCGTGTCGACAATAAACCTACACAGTGTCAACTCAAAACTCCGCTACAAGAGTGGCGTTGTCAGCAGCCCAACTAATAAAGGTTGAGTAGTCACCTATCTAATACACACCGCAAACTACAGACTTAGTCCCCTGATCGGGTCGGCTTCAAATTTGTATGAGGAAACAGGCCGATACCAAATCGCTGTGATGTGCGCACTTCCATGCATTAGAGATGGGTTATACTAGGTAAATTTGATAATAGGTGCACCTATTCCTAGTATTTATTTATACTCGATCCAAATACCTATTCCACCTAGTACGTAGTAATTTAGCATACTTGACGCGACTAGTGCGGACTAATACGCGTAATACGACTTTAAAATACATATTTTTTTAAAGATACAACCGTAGTATGAATAATAATAATAAATAATTTATTTCAGACTTTCATCCATAGTTTGTTAGTAGGGATTAGTAACAATTTTTCCTTATATTATGTTAGTTGAGTTAGTGCACATTACTTTTAGTTTTCATTTTATTTGGCCCATAGATAATTGTATCCAATGTGTTTGGATAGGACAGTCAGGACGTGCAATAATTGTCCTCAGAATGCTGTTGTTGCTGACCCTTATGCGGCGTAGCAGCGACGAGGCTTTTTTACGCATTATCGCATGGAACCCGTCTGTCCGTGCGTCCGCGAACATTCCCGAGGCGCTGCAGAACCGCGGCAGCCTCAACAGCATTCTGAAGGCGTTGTTGTACTGCACGCGTAGCGCGCTGTAGGCTCGACGCGTATAACTCACCCACAGACCACTCGAGTAAAAGGACTGACAAAAAGCCTTGAAAAGGGTAATCTTGACCTCCCCCGTACATCGAGCGAACCTGCGTGCAAGCATATTGCTTCTTACCGCCAGCGCCCTACGCTCTCTCTCAATGTCCTCATCATCACTTAAATTTGCAGTGACTATATGCCCAAGATATTTAAATTTTTCAACATTTTTCAATATCGAACCATTCAGAGTTATTGGCGGCACATAACCTGGCGCACGCTTTCCCGCTTTAAATACAAGGATTTCACTTTTTTTGGCGTTGTACACCAAGCCATGGGCCGCCGCATACGTCTCACAGATAGAAACCAATTTTCTTAACCCACCAATAGAAGGGCTCAGCAGCACCATGTCATCAGCGTAGCTTAGGTTATTTACACACTGTCCGTCTATGTAACAGCCAATATGGATGCCACTGAGCTCCCCAATCAGCTGGTCAATGTAGAGGTTAAAAAGGGTAGGCGAGCTTAACCCACCCTGCCTCACTCCGCATTGAAGGGTATACTCATCTGAGAGTGCACCAGCCCACCTCACCTGGTTTTTTTGATGTTTATACCAAAATCTAAATAATTTAGTACAGTCTGCCGGCATACCAGCTCTCCCCAGTTTCTCCCATAGTAGGCCATAGTCTACCAGGTCGAAGGCTTTAGATAAGTCTAGGAAGCACGCATACACCGGCGTTTTCCTCTTTGTATAGTACTTGACAGTGTGCTTAAGGCTGAAAATGGCGCTTTCTGTGGACACACCTGGTTTAAAACCAAATTGCGCATCGCGAAGTTCCACATACTTTGCGAGACAGCCGTTAAGCAAACCGTCAAGTATCTTTGCAGCAGTGGTAGCAAGCGATATGGGCCGGTAATTACACTTGTCAGATGCGTCCCCCGTCTTATTTTTAACTATGGGTACTACAATTGTACGCATTAATGCTTCCGGCAAATAGGCATGTCCCAGACTAAAACCAAAAATCATTGCGAGTATACGTGGTAGGTGTACCCCAGCATATTTAAAATGTTCTATACTGAGGCCATCGTGTCCGGGAGACTTCCCTTTTGTCATTTTTGCAATAACTTTGGCTATGTCTCTCGCCGAAAACTTAACCGATCTCCGAGACACGACGCCCTCAGCGCCCCCACCACAGCCCCGCGCAGATTCCAACGGTGACTTCACGGTAAAATGATCTTTAAAGATGTTTGCAATAGCCTTGAGATCATGTTCACTCTCTACGCTCACCGGGACACTTGGTTTCACGTTTAATTTATTTGTGTTTTTCCAAAATTTTCCAAAATGTTTTCCCGATAGGTCCGAGGCTAGAGCATCCATTCTTATCTGATCTTGTCTGTTTTGACACCATTTTAGTTTATTTTTAAAACATTTTCTACTATAATGCAATTTGAAATTGAATAATAATTCCCCCCTTCATACTTCAACAGGCTTAGGACTGTCAACTTAAAAGTTGGCGTATTTAAAAGATATCAATTTCATAAAAATATTTACATGAATATGGTTTGACTACGTTTGTGTGCGTTTGCTTCGTCGCGCTCAAATTTGTTTGGTCAGACAGAGACGGAGTGAATCTCTACGTTCGCACATAAGCTTAGCGAGAAATACTAAGTGCGCGTAATACACGACTACGGATTACGCAATTATAACCTCTATTACTTTAATGATAGGGTCGGAAATCGTGTAATTTATAAAATACTAGGTGGATCAAGTATTTAAAAAATTGGAATAGGTGCCGCCTAGTACTGTAAAATACCTAGTGTGTGGATCTGTTCTAGTAAATACGTCTCATCTCTACCATGCATGTTCATACTGATTAACAGTCGGTAAATACGGTAAACCTAATACCTACTACAGCTTAAAGACAGGTAATTACTAGAGATGCTAATTAGGGTTTAATACCATCACCACTACTGACTATAGCCAAAAACTACAGTTTAGCCTTCAATGAAATCTTCAATTATGGTTGAGTAATCACCTATTAACCTTACACACGCCGCAGACTACAAACTTTTACTCGCCTGATCAACCGATATCATATCGGTGCAATGTGCACAGTCGCTAAATACGGTAAACCTAATTAGATATTAAGAAAAATAAAAAGAATCAAATCGCCATTTATAAAAATTGAATCAGGAAAAATTGCTTGTGATTTCTATTTAAGTCCAAATACCAGTTTTTATGCAGAGTGCAAATTAAGGTGTGTAAAAATAATTATAAAAAGAACCGCCTTTCGTCTAATTATTTCGCCAATAATGAAGAGACTCGAGTTATAAAAAAGGTGATTTCACATAAGAAATTTTCATTCGTCGTTGGGGCTTGTCGTGAGCGGACGCATACTTGAATATTCTGACACCATTTATTAAAAAATAGACCTTATATACAGCGCGTTAAGTAGTTATTCGCTTGGCTAGTGTATTGGNGGAAGAGAAAAAAAAATTGTTAAATGTTCACTTATTTTCTAACTTCTACAGTCTTATTTCTAAAGGCTGGGTTTCACCGCCAAGCTTTGACCTTGACTATGACGATGACCGTGTTTTTGTATGGAGTTTGAGAGATTTTTGGCGGCTGTCAGGGTTTGGGGTGAGATGGTGTAACCCGGCCCAAGTTGTCATACAGAAGAGCAGTCTCATTCTAACACAAGTTTTACAAACTTAAAAGGATGAGACTCACAATATCATTGTTAAGACTTTTATCGATAAATAAATAATTTTGAATTTTTGAATTTTGAATTCCTCAGGCACTGACTGAGTTAAGCGCTAGACCTATAGTCTACCCCTTTGAAGTCGAACCTTAACTTCGAACTCCTCCTATGTTCTTCTGATTAATTTCATTGCGGGTCCAATGACAGTTTAACTTTCCTCCGGGACAAACTTGACCTTCACTGGTTGGGTTTTTATTGGCGGTCAAGCTGTAGATCCTGGCTACACAGGAGTTGCAGTGGTGGGAAAGAGAGGTGGGAATAGTCCTGTAACTAGTAACAACATAGTGTGCAAGTAGTCGTGTAATTGACGATGTCTATTCCGTTTCTAGTTTTCTTGGTATTTGCGTTTTGTTTCGCGTGTTTGTATTCGATAAGTAGAACAGTAGCGTAATAAGAAAATAGGTTAAGAGCGAGCCAAACTTGGGAACTGTGGGTTCCGTGTTCTTATTAGTCTCATGAAGGTTCTTCTTACTAAATGAATTTATGAAGATTTTTTAAAAAGAAAGTTAGCCATCTGCATGTAAGTAATTACTACGGAAAATATCGTGAGAAGTTCCTCGTAAAGTTTCAACATGATGTTCTTCAATGATTTAACTTAAATGGTATTATTATTTAGTACGGATGACGTCAGCAGCATCTTATACACATTATATGACTGTATACTGTTCACAGTTGTACCACAAACACAATACATAACTATGACTTAATTTTAACATCATTGTTGTTTAGACGTAACCAAACATCAACATGTTAAGCAATCAATCCCTAGAAGTGCATTAACTCATCGGACTACATTGTTGTTGGATAATAACACTTATTACAATTGAACAAGACACATAGTGTTAAGTTTGACGCGCTCTCCAGTGACATTATCGTATTCTTGCTTAAGTTAAGCAAATCGAACGCACAGCGTCGGATAGAGCTCTGTGATTGGTTCGTGTGTCACCATGTGCGTCCACGCGCACTGTGAGACCTCATAGTAATGTTTGTGAATACGGGCATAAATTTGTTGGATACGCACTTAATACCTACAACTGGACAAGATTTCACGGTGTTAGACTTGAGTTGCTCTTCTGTAGTGACGTTATCTATGCCATCAACCATTACAATCGCATTGGGCATACTTAGTTTCTATAACAAGATGTCATTTTAAAGTTCTCTGCATTCGTTACACTTGAGGTCATGAAGTTGTTACTTCGTTCGTTTCATCGAAATGACGTCCACTGCTGGACAAAGCCCTACATTTCTACAACGACCGGTCGGTTGTTAGTACACTTTATTATTTACTGGGACTCCAAAGCATTGTTTTTGCGACTTCAATTCTCACTGAGGGTATAAATTTTAATGTAATGTAACGTTAATACCAATTTTGTTGATCTGCTTAGTTTAAGTGGACTAGGTTTAGGTCTTAGATGCAAAAGCGATTTGTTTTGTTTTCTTTATGTATTTGATATTCATTGGTGGACTTTTGGAATGTCAGTTTATTGTCCTCAAATACAAATAAAAATGTATTAATGTAGTTAGGTAATGTTATGTAGATAGATGCCAGAAGCTATATGATTCGTTCATTCGTCTTACGAGTATATGCCACATTATTTGTATGAACCTTTTCAGACCTTACTCGTCTATTTTTAGACATATTACTTCGCAATATCTTTCTAATCAGCTGTCCATTTCATTCAACGCACTGTAAAACCTTATTTTCCAAATGATATGGTTCAAATTCGAATAATACATACGACCATTGCCACAATGGTAGCAATTAAAGCTCGCATTCGCTACATACATTTTATTGCTTTGTCCGTCTGTCTGGCGAAAGTCGATTATTTATACAATGCGGCTTCCTATCTGAAATAATGATTGACTCGTATAATTTTTTTGTGCAATACGTAATAACGTGTATTATTGTATTTATATGAAAGTCGTAATACAAATGCTTGCTTATGAAAGTTGAGCAATCATTTTTCACATGTGATAGAAGTAGAGATCAGTTCTGACTTTGCATATTATGTATTTTAATTAAAAACAGAAATTAAGGTGTGTAACTAGGCTTTTTTCCATGTCTGTATTATGCTATGTTAAAATAGGAAAACATTATTATACCAATAAGCTTTAAACAAGCTATCTCTGATTGACAACATTTTGGAAAAAGCGAATACAAAAAGAACTACATACAAGAAACCCGTTTATAAAAGATTCCAGAAGTAATTGTATTATTTAATTGTGACACCTTATTATGTCTAAAAAATTCTCTTTCGTCGTTGGGGCTTGTTGTGAGCGGACGCATACTTGAATATTCTGACACCATTTATTAAAAAATAGACCTTATATACAGCGCGTTAAGTAGTTATTCGCTTGGCTAGTGTATTGGTAAATTGTATAAACAAAACTATGAAGTATTTCCTAAAGAAACGGAAGTAGTCGGTATCATTACATACTTGCATTCAATAATCAAGGTTAAATTACAATATTAAATAAAACTATTATTATCAGATCTATACATGTTGTAAAATATATAAATATAATAATGAATTATATAAGTAGGCTTACACAAAGTACAGTGTGTCCTAACACTCTCTTTAAATGATGCTTTACAAGTTTAACAGAGCTTTCCCATAACCCGCCCCAATGAGCTGAATGAGGAATTATAAACCGCCATTCAATACCTTCTGAAATTACATAATTTGAAACTTGTTCAAAATCGTTCTTAAACATGTTGAATAACTCATGAAGCTCATTTTTTGCCCCATGAAAAGTAGTACCATTATCACTGAATATTTTAGCACAATAAATGAATCTACGCAATGCATTTAGAAATTCCTTAGTAGTGAGATTCGACACTAGTTCGATATGAATAGCTTTAGTACTCAAGCACACAAAAAGGCAAATATAACCTTTAGTTATAATAGGTTTCCTTATACGAGCAACTTTGACAGACAGCGGTCCAGCAAAATCTATGCCTGTGAACAGAAAGGGTCGAGAAGGAGTAATACGACATTTGGGTAGGTCAGCCATTATTTGTGAAGCAGTTTCTGCCTTAAACCTGTAACAACGTACACACTTGTGTATGAAATTATACACATTCGTCGTTGGGGCTTGTCGTGAGCGGACGCATACTTGAATATTCTGACACCATTTATTAAAGAATAGACCTTATATACAGCGCGTTAAGTAGTTATTCGCTTGACTAGTGTATTGGTATCTGTGCATTAACCGCCAGTGTACAGTGCGTGAGTGAGATAACATACGGAGTTATTGCGGTGCTAGAACGAGACAACCACACCACAATGCAGCGATCACCACAACACAAATTTGCATCAAACCCCGATTTACAGACTTCAGCTAAGTCTGATTTGATGGTTGATGACCTGAATATTAACTTACGCAAAAGGAGGGAACATATATTAGACGGCGAGATCCTGAACATCGTTGAAACCAGCCTAAATGAGCAACTTAACACCTGGAAGCAAAGCTTGGATGCCACGATCACAGAAACCATAAAAAACGCCGTGAGTGTTGCGCTGGAGACGGAGATGAGTAAATTATCAGCCAATATTAATCAGACAATGCAAAATTTCGCTATACGCATGGATGAATTCCAGGAATCGGTAGATTATGCGAACAATAGACAGGATCTGTTTGAAAAACGTTTGAAAGAAGTAGAGGTTGTCACCGCAGCTGGTAGCACCGTTCATAGTCAGATTACAACACTCGAAAATAAAATAGATCAGCTGGAGCAGCAAGCCAGACAGTTTAACATTGAAATCGCAAACCTGCCAGAAAAAAATGGCGAAAACCTGATGACACTGCTAAGTAAAATTGGTACAGTTATTAAGCACCCGATCAACCAGGCTGACATTTTATCTGCCCACCGTGTTCCACATGTTGACAAAAAGAATCCCCGCCCAAGGAATGTTATTGTAAAACTATCTTCCAAAATATTACGGAACAATATTCTAACCTCGGCGAGGGCGACTAAAGGATTAACTTCCGATATGTTGATGATGGCGGGCAGCACGCGTACGATTTATATCAACGAACATCTAACGCCTAAAAATAAGGCCCTCTTTCGTCAAAGTCGAGAAGCCGCAAAAAAAAATAATTATAAATACGTCTGGGTCAGACATGGTACTGTCCTTGTCCGCCAAACAGACACATCACCTATCTATGCAGTGCGTTCTGAGGATGATATTGACAAAATCAAAATCAAAACCAGTTCCTGAAAATAAGTTGAGGTGTTGTGACTATTTTTCCTATGATGCTGATGCAGGTAGTGTAAAACTTAAAATAAAAATCTATTATGTTTACCTGTTATGCAATCAATTATTGTGGTATAATAAGCTAGGTAATATTAAAAGTTTGGCATGATTTACTACTATAGATAACTATATAAAATTATATAAGCTGATTATTTTGAGCTGTATAAAATTATTGTGCTATAAGCTAAGTAACATCAAAAGTTTGGTATTATTTACTACTATAAATAAGTATACAGGGTGTAAAAAAAACTATCACGAAGACTGAAACTACGCATTCTGTACACCCAACCAAGTAATATTACAAAATATTATTGGTGGGAAATATTTTTTATTTTTATGATTAAAAAAAATACAATATTCCGCAGCCCGCAATGTATAGCGCGCCACGCAACGCAATGACCGTGCCTATGTGTGTGTGAGTGTATTGGCACAGTATTGGAGCGTACTAGGGATATTCCGATACTAATAAATACGAGTAGGTACTCGATACTTTTGATTCGATACCAAGTATTTATTGTATCGAATCAATTTTGCGATACATAATCGGTATCGAAACAAAAATACTTGGTATCGAATCGAATCAGCAAAACAACCGAAAACAATAAAAAAAAACCGAGAACGCATCATACAGAACTGAAAGAGTAAAAACAGTCAGCTAATCAGCTTTAATCGGTTACCGAGTTACTAGAGCCCGAGCCGAAAGCGAGAGAAGGAGACACCCGCACCCGCCCGCAAATCATCTCGCCATTCCGCCATTGTGAAAGTGTTAAGTCACTATTTACAAGTAATTTTATTAATTGTAATCATCAAATTCATCGGTTTATTCCAATGTTATCATGGCATAAACCGATAAATAAATAGTTGTTTTCTTCTCAATTTTGTTTAAATTATTGTCCTTCAACGTTCATTGATAGCACCCTCAAAATAATAAAACAAAATAAAAGTTCCAAAAAGTATCGATATCAGTAAGTATCGATACTTTAGGAGTACTTATTTAAGTAGTATCGAAAAAAGATTTGAGTATTATCGAAATGAGTAGGTATCGATACTTAGGTGGTATCGGAACATCCCTAGNGAAACCTGGTTACATCCAGACATTAACGATAACGAATTTATCGATAGTAGATATCAGGTGTTCAGGAGGGACAGGGACCGGACTGCGACTGGCCGCCGTGACGGCGGCGGCGTTCTAGTGGCTGTGTTGCGCTCACTATATGCAACTGCACGACCCGGCCTGACTGCGACAGCGCTATCGGACTGTGCCGTCCCACTCCCTCCCATTATTGACTGTGTGATGCTTGATCTGCGCATTGCTAATTTTAACTACATTATAGTAGCTGTTTACATACCACCCAACTTAAGTTTTGATCATTATCTTGCACTTTTCACTAATTTACAGGGTCAATTTTGTGATTTTAATGACAGCTTTCTAATAGTGGGAGATTTCAACTTACCGGGATTACACTGGGTGCCCAATACATCTCACAGTCAATCGATGACTAGTATTGCGAATCCGATTCATTCATGTATGATGAACTTTATGTCTATGCACAACTGCCTTCAACTTAATACCATACGCAATAAAAATAGCCGTACCTTGGACTTATGTTTGACTAATGACAATAGTTGTAGCTTATCACCGGCATCGGTTCCCTTACTAAATATTGACGAATTTCATCCTCCATTTCACGTGATATGTCCCTTAAAACCGGCCAAGTGCGAGTCGGGCTCGCGCACAAAGGGTTCCGTAGCAGCAAATATAATAAACTTATTATGTCAATTTATACACCTGGTGAATGGAGCCTAAACTCTCCCGATATTTTGCCTTGTACTTTTATGTATGAATATTAATTTTATATATGTATTTATAAATATTCCGAGCTAAAGAGGTGGCAAAAGCAATGGCAAACAAACCACAATCAATAGTATTCGGTTGTCGCTGAACACTTGGAAACTGAATACATGACTCCGATAGATACGGAAACAAGGCTTTTACATATATTTTTTGCGATTTTCCTAGAACACCAACAAGACTATCGTACACACGCAGTATTCCATTAATGTAATAAATACAACTCCAGTGCCCCACTAATCCCACGTCACCGTCATAAATTACTTGAAGGTGCGTCTCATTTTTAGGTACAGGTTCAATCAGTTCAGGGTGTTGAAATAATTCTAGCTCACGCGGTCTAAATGATGTGCACCGAAGTAACTTTTCATGAAATGCGCGAACCACATCATCTTCGATATAGTTATTATAATTCAGAATGTAGGAAAACGTATTATCTAAAGTATCCATTGTTAGATGATATACAATAAGCTTTAGAAATTTTAAAAACCTGCTACGAAACACTAAAATTTGCACCAAAAACAAAGGAATTTATATTATTGGGGGATTTATTAGTACGTGACCGGTTTAATAGCACCTATTAAACCAGTATACCTACTTACTTATTTTTTATAATAGGTACAATTCAATATTAAAAAGTCTCAACGCCAAATTCGACTTGCGAAAGAAGTAAATGGGAACGATGAAATTCTCTTAGCGCGCACAAGTGACAACGACGTCTGCCCTCACGTGTCTGCCCGTTCGGGTCGACGCGGTTAGCTATCTTATCCCCGCTCCCGCGCGAGACCACGCCCCGCAACTCACGCGCTGCAGCGCAGCGAGCGACCGATCTTCTTGAATCGATGTAATAATAATCTATAGGATTAACGCGTTTTAAAAATATTGGTTCGATGGATATGTTTAACCTATTATTACTCAACAATCACATTTGTAATATTAAACTTTATCAAATGCACAATGTATTTAAGGTACATTACTGGATAAGGATTAATGGCGTATTGCTTGAATAAGCTAATATTTCTCGTAAAAAGTACCTACATTATAAAGATTTTATATCATCGCGGATTTTAAAAGGTGTACAATACTGTAGTATATTTTTTGATCTATCTTATAAGGTTCAGCCATCGTTTTCAGTGTAAGCACAATAACTTAACCAAAATTACAGTTAAATCAACCTATCTCAAAAACTATAAGAGATACTTTGATCAAACCAAAAATCGTTGAAAGAGTTAATTAGCATGCATCACCTCTATTTTTTTTAGAATTTTATACCCCGTAGTTATAAAAATAGAGGGGGGGGGACATACTTTTTACGACTTTGAGAGCTGATATCTCAAAAACCGTTCACTTTAAGAAAAATGTTTTTTAGAAAACTTTATATCATTTTAAAAGACCTTTCCATTGATACCCCACACGGGTATGTACATCGAAAAAAAAATTTTCATCCCTCAGTTACATGTATGGGGGGCCCCACCCCCAATTCTTTTTTTTACTATTTAGTGTCATAATTTTGTAGCGGTTCATACAACACATATTCCCATCAAATTTCATCACTGTAGTACTTATAGTTTCCGAGTAAATCGGCTGTGACAGACGGACAGACGGACAGACGGACAGACGGACAGACGGACAGACGGACAGACGGACAGACGGACAGACGGACATGACGAAACTATAAGGGTTCCGTTTTTGCCATTTTGGCTACGGAACCCTAAAAACTAATATAAAAAATACTCAACGTTGGCCTCGAATTAGTTACAGGTTTAGGAATGCAGATTATGACAAAATTATAGAGGAATTGGAAAATACTAACTGGATGGAGTTGTTGTCGGAGAAACCTGTGACAGATGCGATTTCATGTTTTTATGAAAAACTGCATGAATTAATTAAAAAATATGTACCTACAAAAGTTGTAAACTCTGGCCCTTATCCAAATTGGTTTACACCTGAACTAATTCATCTTCATAGAAAAAAGAAACGTGCTTGGATCACAATGAAAAAATATAACACTCAATCCAATTATAATATATTCTCACTTTATAGAAGTAAATTTAAAGCTACTGCTGAACGCTGTTATAAGTATTATCTAGACAAAGTGGAAAATAGTATTAAAATCAACGGGAAATACTTCTGGACTTACATAAAAAATAGGAAAAAAACAACAGACTTACCGCAAATACTTACATACATGGACGAAATAGCAAATACCCCTGAGGAGACCTGTTCCTTGTTTTCTAGCTATTTTCAATCAGTTTTTGAGCCCTCATCGGTACCAACAGATTTAGATATTCATAATTTTAATACAGATTATTCTAAAGCGCCTGATTCCTTGCTTAGTGACATACAAATTTCAAATGAGGATGTGTTTAGGGAACTCAAATTGTTAGACGTTACTAAAGGCACTGGAACTGATAACATTCCACCATGGTTTTTGAAGGTTACGGCTAAGGCTATTCATGAACCACTATGCTTTTTATTCAATAAATGCCTGAAAGATGGAATATTTCCTGAGGTTTGGAAATGTNATCAAAGATAGGAAGGTGATTATTTTTTTCAAATATCTGAAACTAATAGGAAATCTGTCAAAAAAAAGAAATCTGAGAAAAGTCAACCCAAAAAAAAGATAAAAAAAAAAAATTAAGCCACTAGGTCATGAAATTTGAAAAAATCACAAAATTAACGATAACTTCTAAACTACGAAAAATCGTAGAACATACATGGGGGTGAAATCGATAGGTCTAGTCCTCACCTATCACCTGCCTTCGGCTTGACACCTTACAAGAAACACCCTGTATAAGCTAATTATTTTGAGCTGTATAAAATTATTGTGCTTTAAGCTAAGTAACATCAAAAGTTTGGTATTATTTACTACTATAAATAAGTATATAAAACTGTGTAAGCAGATTATTTTGAGCTGTGTAAAATTGTTGTGCTATAAGCTAAGTAACATCAAAAGTTTGGCATTATTTACTACTATAAATAATTATGTAAAAGTATGTAATTTTATTATTTTGAGCAGTGTAAAATTACTGTGTTATAGGCTAGGTGACCTTATAAGTTTGGTATTGTTTACTACTGTTAATAAGTGTGTAAAGTGTAAGTTGATTATTTTGAGTAGTGTGAAATTATTTTGCCACAAGCTAAGTAACATTAAAAGTTTGCTGTTATTTACTACTTTATATAACTGTGACAGATCGTATAAACTGATTAATTTGAGCTGTGAAAAAATATTTACTATATGTAGGAACTCAGGAGAAGTATATGCATATATAATAATAACTTGTCTCCTTAGGGTTATTTCTTGTATAACACTAATAGTTTCAATTGANGGTTTTTGAAGGTTACGGCTAAGGCTATTCATGAACCACTATGCTTTTTATTCAATAAATGCCTGAAAGATGGAATATTTCCTGAGGTTTGGAAATGTGCTAGAGTTGTACCTGTCCATAAAGGAGGAAACAAAAAACTTGTAGAAAATTACCGCCCTATATCAATATTGCCCACCCTGTCGAAGGTCTTCGAACGACTGGTTCATGATGCAACATATTCATTTTTACGAAGAAATATAATACCTCAACAACATGGGTTTGTCAAACAACGATCCACTGTAACTAACATGCTTATATATATAACTTTTCTTTTCAAAGGTTTTGAAGCCAACAAACAAATTGACAGTGTTTATACCGACTTTCGTAAGGCTTTCGACAGAGTGGATCATATGANAATAAAATAAAAAAAAAAAAAAAAAAAAAAAAAAAAAAATCCAGATTTAATTTAAAACGCTTGTACTGGCCACACTTGACAGCATTTAGTTACATGTAATGTTGTGTCGCTAATCACGGATCGCAAATACAATACAAAAAACTAAATCCGGCAGTGCATTTCCATGTAAAATAGATACGGCTTTATTTTCTAGCGTAATCACTAATCATGCAATTTAAAAAAGAGAAACGACAATATTATACATTAAGCTTGACAAAGTTCTCGATAATTAAGATAGGAAATAGTGTAACAACACCTGTGTATTTCTTCATTAGGATGAGTGAACTCGTGACAATATGATACGGTTATTGCTACCAAACCAGGTGAAAACTATAGCTGTATACATTCACCGGTAATTCATGAACTATGTAAACAACGTTACTTGGAATGTTACAAAAAATTGGGCTACGTTACTACACACTTGCTACTATATTGCCTCATTTAATTACGATTAGCTACACTTAAAACATTCCTCGCCGTGACAAACGTATTCATGAAGCCATATATCCGTTGGCCCATGTCTGGTATCACGATGCATCATTTTATTACCATGATTACAATAGCATGCAATAGTATGTTTGTGTTACATGTACAGGTTTGTTTCCGCACGTTTTGCTAGATAAAGATTGTTATAATCTAATACAGTATAATACCTTATTATAATTTGGTATAATACACGTTTGGGTACCAATCATAATGATAAGAAGCAGTATTGAAGACATTAAATCCTCATTGTTATTATATCCTCTTATACATTTGTCACCAACCCCTACTCTTCCCGCGTGTCGTAAGAGGCTAGTTATGGACTACACATTAAACAGAGAACGGGCAGCAGCGCTCTCTGATAAACATCAATCTTTTAAACTGCGATCTCCAGAACGCCTGCCAATCATGGATATTATGGCAAAACCCACCACTAAAGTGGATGAGGCTCATAGTCCAGCAGTAGACTGTACAGGGCTGTTGATGACGATGATGATTCTATCCTCTTCGTTATTCTAGACAATTTAAAAAAAATGTTAGGATGATTTGCTATGCAAGTTATTTTTTTTAAATAAACTGTTACATGTGACATTCAAAATTTAAAATTAATCACACCTTTTTTTTGTTTTCAGGCATAACGGCAACATATTGTTGGACAGTGCTGGCCACATCATCCACATTGACTTCGGATTCATTTTCTCAATATCACCCAAGAATTTAGGATTTGAAAGTTCTCCATTCAAGGTAATTTTGACATTATTTATAATGTTTTTTTTAGAATTTGTAGTTGATAAACATACCAGTTGCGATTTTTATCTTCGCGATAATGATACACAGTTTTTATGTCTTACTATGATTTTTGCAATTCATTATTGTAATCTGGCATTAGCCAAGCCATTTGTGGGGAATCGTATGATAAACATATTTTCCAAGTATTCGGAGTTATACATGTTTAGTTTGTGAAAGTTGAAATGTATTAACTGAATTACATAAAGGATCTTTATTAAAGGTTAACTTACTAAATGTGTAGTTGCCTGAGTTCTTGTCAGAGATTTAGTTAGCGAATAGATACTCATCGGTTCTGGGCACCCGCTGAAAATCAGTGTTGGAACACGTGTGTGTCTTGATGTATACTGAACGGCCTTTTTGGGACAAAAGTGCCTTTTGCTGTCTGTATTATATTTATTGTTCATGTTTCTTGTTTAGCCGGGTCTCCAGCGCGTGTTTTGCCCTACACAATCAACAAAGACATGTCACCATTCAACAAAATTGCGTACAAAAATACAGACCCGGCTTTTTCGTGTCAAATAAAGTTTATCTTTCTTCTTTCTATTTAGTTTGGGATTAGATCAGGGCATATAGATGACTAATTGTATTTCCTTGATAATTATATCCCCAACGTGTCCATTTAAATACGAACTCTATCTTTCCGCAGTTAACGGCGGAGTTTGTGGAGGTAATGGACGGCGAAACGTCAGACATGTTCCAGTACTTCAAGATCCTCATCCTGCGCGGACTCATCGCCGCTCGCAAGCACTGCGACCAGATCATACACCTTGTCGAGCTCATGCGATCAGGTTGCTATACTTTGTCATTATTATTATTGTCTCTTCCCATGAATGTCGTAAAAGAATAAGGCCCAGAACACACGGTGAAACGCAACTGCAACGAAACTGCAACTTTCTGATGATTCTTATGAATGAAACTGAAACTGAAAGTTTCAAACTGGTCGTCATGTGTGGTCTCTCAACGGACGCTATGGCAGAAACTTAGATAGGCTAGATTCCGTTGAGAGACCACACATGACGCGACCATTTCAAACCGGTTTCAAGCTGATCGCGTCATGTGTGTATGGCAGAAACTTAGATGCAACTCAAAAGTAACTAGAAGTTGCAGTTTCGTTGCAATTGCGTTTCACCGTGTGTTCTGGGCCTAACACTTTCAAATTAGACGTTTTGAGACGGACCGCAAACTGAAAATTGTATGATTATAGGCTAGATGACAAAATTTCAATTATTTGCCCGTCAGACAGATAATTAGAAAATATTAGACTCGTTTTTTTTATTTTCTTTCATAATTAAATAATAACAGTGCTACATCGACCTTGAAATGGCGCGATACGTCACGCTTGAGTAGAATTTTTACTCAAAAGTGACGTCACGCGACATTTTAACTCAATATATTACTGTAATTATTCGATTATGGAAAAAAAATATGAGTCTAATATTTTCTAATTATCTGTCTGACGGACTAAATAGAATTTCGATTTCATTACCCAGTCATCATCCCTATTGCGTTGGAATAAAATTGACAAGTACCAACAATTAGTGTGTGGATTAGCATACGCACAACAACTGTCCGGCTCAAAACTTCTAATTTGAAAGAGCCCTTAGATACAAAATTATCAGGCCTTCCCAACCCGTCTGGCCAGCGTGGGCAGTGCATGCCAAACCTTTATGGTGAGGCAAATGCCTCTGGTAAATTAGAGAGGGCTGAGGGCCTGTAGTGGAGACAAAGTGAATAATAATGATGATTACGTTAGTTGCCATAGCAACTAGCTCTACAAGCGACGTCATCGCACACAATTTTACCACGCATTGTTTAAATGTTTTTACTCAAAAACTTGTCACTTTTCATACTGTCGTGCTTACCGAAAATGTAGGAAAAATAAGCTAAATTGTACTTAAACCAAGCTAACTTAGCTTTTGGTTTGCACCCGGTCTAGATGACTCTTTTCAGTATGTAATCTAATCTGACATTTTCATATTTCAGGCGGGCAGTTAGCGTGCCTTCGTAGCTCAAGCGCAGTTTCAGCGTTTCGCGCGCGTTTCCACGGCGGACGCACCGAACCACAACTGCAAGCGTTAGTCGAGCGGCTCGTGAGGGACGCACTGCACTCGCTATCAACGCGCCTCTACGACAACTACCAGTACTACACCAACGGGATACTCTAACGGTCTGTGAGGATTCTGGAAATCATCCTATACAGGGTGGAAACGATAAGTGATTTTACTCGATTATTTCTAAACTATGCAAGATATCGAAAAACTGGTTACTGATCCTGAAAGTGCTTAATGAGCTCTATTAAACGGTACCGATAATGTTACAAAATAAACTGCATCTATCCGAAAATTCAATGTTTCCAATTTCCATACATTTAGTACTGCCACAGTCATGGCACTCATGTCTTGATAATATTATAGCAAGTAAAGCCTAGAACCAATGTTTTCCATGAATAATTTTAAATAAGGATGCAATTTAAGAGTTCATTTTAAGTGTTTATTATTTAATAAAAAAATCAACACTTAATATTGTGTGACTGGCATACATTTAGTATGGAGGCTGAAAACATTGAATTTTCGAATAGATCCAGTTAATTCTGTAACCTATTGATACCGTTGCAAAAAGCTCGTGAAACACTTTCAAGATCAGTTACCAGTTTTTCGATATCTTGTGTAGTTTAGAAATAATCGAGTTAGATTACTTATCGTTTCCATGCTGTATAGACTTAAGAGCTAGTGAACGACAGACCTACGTCATTTTATAAAAGCTGAAAGTTTGTCAGCGTATGCTAAATCTATCTTTTACGGTGGATTTTTCTGTGTATTCAATAGACTGTAATTCTACTAACGTTATACTGTCTGTACAATATTTGGGCAATAATTAGAAGTATTTTCCCCAACAGCCAGACAGTTTTGACAGTTCCAACTCCTTGCCAGACAGTTTTTTTAGGGTAGCTCCCAAAGCCACCATGGCCCAAACTTCATAATTAACCAACATTATGTCCTGTATTGGGAGCATACGCTGACAAACTTTCAGCCTTTATAAAATGACGTAGGTCTGGCGTTCACTAGCTCTTAGTCTAATAGGCCGTTGATCAAGATAGGTACTCCCAGTTTTAAAGGTTAATATCCTCTGCAAGGAAAGCGCGCGTGAGAACAGGCGTAATGAAATTGAACTTGTGATTGTCGGAAGCAAATTGCGGCCATAGAAAATTTGAGTAGCAAATAACCTGTCACATTAAAGCGCGCTTCCTTTGCTCGTTTTATATACCCCGCTAAATCATGTTACTCCGCATTAGATAATGTTAAAAATTGTGATACCTTAACTTCTTAGATTAATCAAAAATGTATCTGACCGATCGACAAACCCGAAACTGGAGAACTTTATGAATCTGTTAAAAGTAATTTTACAGTTAAATCTTAAGTGACAATAACAAATATGTCTCATATTTTCGTCCTTATTGTAAGCAGCAGTGTTACGCGTTCGCTTAAAAAATATTTGTTAATCTAGTGTATTGTTTTCAATCTGTTTATTGTCGATGCTAAATGTAGCAATTGACAATTACTTCTTCGACCGATATTGATTTGGAATCGAGACATCGATGTCCTAAATCATGACGACAAAATGTATCACAATTATGAAATGTTAAATTAAGTTTCTCGCGTCGAAACCCTAGTGCTGTAGTACACTTGTGTTACTTGCTTTGCGTAGGTTTTTATATAATTAGTGCCATAACCCATTGTCACTCGCTGTACCTTAAAGTAGATGTCCCCATTTGCTCAATCATGCCCGCAGTCACCTAACAAAATAATCATCTTCTGACCCGTCCATTGTAGTTACTTTATAGAACCATTAGTTCTTCGTAACACATTTGAATACTTTGTGTAAACATGTGAGCGCATAGGAATGTTAAATTTTCGAAAATCTGACGTGTAAATAGATAAAAATTATGATAATTTTCGCAAAGAGAAGACTGATTGATCAGGCATGCAAAGTGGTCTAGTTTTAGGTTTCTTATCCTTATAAATTTAAGTTTTACCCTGTATATTGAAATTAGTTGTGTAAAATAAAGCGGGATCCACTCATTCAGTATGTATTAGGAACAATGCCAAAGCGTTGAAGACAAAAGTGGCATTATCTAGGTGTAACGATGTTTGGACGTCGTTACGCGAAACGGGACTAGTTAGGTATTTCGGATACACCAAAATTATTTAGGTGGGTCTGTGGAAATCGAACAGGAAAAGTGAGTTAAAATATTTTTATCTGTGTTGTATGAGAGGTGTTGTTTCGGTGTTTGTAAATGCAATTGTGAGATTGTTAAGCTGCCGCTAGATAGGTTTTAAAATACTGTATAATTATTATGGAGCAGTATGTTCCACATGTTAATGTTGACTAAAATGATTAATCAATACCCTTGTACGTGTATCGCGAGACTAACCGTCTCTCTCGGCGTATAACTGCTTAGTGTAAATGGAGTGAGAAGTTTGTTGCCAAATTTTAAGCGATAAATCTTACCTACGCAGGACATAAATGCTTCTATTTTTCGATCTACTCACGATTTTCCGATTTTTTCACTCTTGTAATAGTGTGGTAAGATAAACAACCCATAAAATGTAAAGTGAACATGGAAGCTGTGTATTCGTGTTGTAAAAGTTAAAATGATTTCGTAAATTGAATTTTTCCGTTTTAAGAATTTACACACGAGTACATGGTTTTCTATAACGTAGGTTGGAAAAATGACGTGTAAAGTAACCTTGAAACCAGAACTGTATGTTATATTTAGACAAAATAATCCAGTAATTGATTTTACACGTCTCTCAACAAAATTCTTTGTTATCCTGATTAATTATAATGTTTAGACTAAAGCTAGGGATACCTTTAAGTTTGTACTCTTCAACTGATTACAATATTTTTGCTACGGCTTATTTAGTTTATCTCATTTAATTTTATCTTCGACTTGAGCGTAGTTAATAAATATATTTTATTGCTTTAAGCATCAGATACCCGAGTATGAATCGAGTTATATTGTGCGAGTGATTATTGTGACCGTTATATTGGAAATGTAGATAGGATATAATTATATCTGAAGTACCTTTAAATATTTTATTCTAAAAGGTAATTTATAGTCGCATCTTATTGTTTGCTAGTTAAACGAGTTAAATCTGTAAATAAACGTTTTCGCTTATATAATTCACTATTATTCCGGATTTAAGAGTATATTGCATCCGAAGTCCAAACATTAATATTTCCTCAAAATTAAAGTTATTTATCAACATGTACAGGTAATTGTAAGTAGGTACTGTAATGTTTATCTTAATTTTTTAAATATACATATATCATGATTTTTTTTCAGTCTTTCATTCTAACAACCCCTATTTATTCATTTGTTCTTTATTGTATAAAAAAAGTTAATTATTACATGTTGAACATTAGTTTAAAATGACAATTATATTAAACAAGTACTCAACGGGCGTTTAAATTTTTGTATCAAGTCCCTATTTAGTGGAAGTGGGGGAAACTGGGACATTTTTGTTAATTCCCATTTGTCCCCGGTGTTGGGGGCAACTGGGAATAACCCATCTTATTTACCTACAGTAGAACGCCGATTAACCGAATCGCCAATTATCCGAATCGGTCCTAAGCGCAATAAATAAAATTAAAACCAAGTAATTTTTATTTTGTTTTGTTATAACAAGTAGGAACTCTCAGGAGTCTAGATTATTTCAACTGAGCGTTATTGTAGAACTGTAAACATATTTAATAAAGTTTATTCTATGTGTGACGGTTAGTTTTAAACGCGCTTTTTCTTTATTACCAGTCTATGTCCGATTATCCGAATCGACCCCGGTCCCAGTTAATTCGGATAATCGGCGTTCTACTGTACTTTGGAAATGAAACAGTGTTTAACATACATATTATTTGGAAATGAAACAGTATTTAACATACATACTTTTTATTAAGATCACTTCTTCTTTTTCTTCTTGCCTTTCATCTTGTGTTTGAGCCGTTGCTTGATCTTCTCCTTGCGCAGGCGCTCCTTGACGATCTGCTGCTTGTCGCGGAACTCTTTGGAGGAGGCTTCCGCTTTCTTCTTCGCGACGCGCTCGTTGTGTTTCACCCAGTGGGGACGGAAGTCTGATACTGGAAAGGATATATGATTTTTTTATTTTATTTCAAAATTAACTGTCAGACAGTATCCTGTTTAGTAACATTTGTTTGTGGAAGGTGAAAAATATTGTACTACCGCTCAACATAAGGCGATAAGTTCCAGTAGCCCCTGCCGTGCGGTCGTACCCACTGGGGGCAACTGGGAATTTCCACGCAAGGGAACGCACCCATACTATATGGCCCATATTTTACCACTGTGTCTAAACTAATCCATTGTACATAGGAGTATTTGGCGAGTGTGTCATATGAGTGTGTCATGTGTCATGTAAAAAAACGTGGCCTTCACTGGTTGGGTTTTTATTGGCGGTCAAGCTGTAGATCCTGGCTACACAGGAGTTGCAGCGGTGGGAATAGTTGTACTCAGTATCAGGCCTGTTCATTTCCGCGAGTTTACATCGAAAACAAAACAAGCACGATTGCACCCTACATTTATTTATTACTATTCGACAAGACCTCACATACGAGCGAGCATTGACTTACGCACGCGTATTATTGTGTATGATGGAAAAAAAAGAAAATGGTGTACTAAATACTATGCAGTATTTAACAACCTAAATAGTAATAAAAACACAGTATGTACTTTTTTAAGTTGCCTGAAGATACTGAGAGGTAAATAAGTGGTTAATATTATTCATGATAATTCATGTATCATGTATTTCTTCCGCCATTTTCTGCAGTTTGGCACCTCACGTTACACAATATCATTTTACCGAAGTCAGCCCTATGGCTTCGGCGCAGTACCAATCACTGACGTTTGTCAACAAAATGGTGCTTGACTCTTGAGACAAGCTAAATTACACCATATTTTTAATGACAGTGAGCACATTTTTTTTAATACCTTCGCAAAGTAAACCTTCTGTCCGTAGTACTTATTATTATTCTGTGTCAGTACTCACCAGGCCTGTTGGCATGTGGGTCGTCGGGCGCGTCGTCGTCGTCGGGCTGCGCGTTGCGCTTGCGCCAGGCGTCGTAGCGGCCGCTGCGGAACGACGCGGGCACGCGCCCGCCGCTCTCTGTGCGGATCATCTTGCGACCACCGTCCTGGGTGCAGAAATGTAACAATCAATAAAGAAACATACATTTATTACAATGGACATCAC